TATGTATATATATACATATACATATACATACAAATGCACATATCTAGATACTCTCCATGATCATTATACATGCGCTGTACTGTGTTATGTGTATGTATTATGTGTTATGTGTACATGCGTTAAGCATGTATTAAATACGGTGCAGAACCACAGAGGCGAGCAACAGAAAGGACGAAGATGTGTGCATAAATAGTTACTTATATCAATAATAGTTTATTACCAACTATATATCCTTGCATGGTATATCATCCTCATACACTGGGAAAAAAATAATTCCGCGTGACTTTCATACGCTACAGTCTCTATAAGGCCTGGGCCACCTCTGACGCAATATTCACATTTCACAGTTTAATATTCTGAACAATCGGCGAATATCCTAGCAATATTCCTACCCTTAACTATTCTCTCGTGCTCTCTAAAATTCCGCCAAAAGGAATTTTCCACGTGGTCAAATATATTCACATGGTCAAAAATTCTCAACTGCTCAAATAATATACGCTCACATATGGTCAAATGTGACAAAATCATAAAATACTTCGATAGAATTCCCACACGATCAAAAATTCTCACATGAAAAATCCCAATTATTCTCACGCTGTTTGACAATTCCAGGTCATCGGATATTCTTACACATTTCAACCATAGATTTAGCACAGAGAACCCCTTTCTCTGTACCACTGGGAGTTCCAACAAATCAGTAAAACTACAAATAATGTATCATAAATCTTATTGCACCACTAATAACTCTCCTATCTGCAGTAAACAACTCCTCACTGCAAAAGAAAAGCCTAACGTCGGCACGAATGCTGACTCTCTGCACTTTTGCCACTACGCTGCGTATTTGGGATTATGTATGGGGATTATGTATGGGGAGTACGCAGCGTAGTGCAGAGAGTCAGCATTCGCGCCAACGTTAGGCTTTTCTTTTGCAGTGAGGAGTTGTTTACCGCAGATAGGAGAGTTATTAGTGGTGCAATAAGATTTATGATACATTATTTTTATTTTTACTGATTCGTTGGAACTGCCAGTGCTCTGTACTAGATCTTTGATATAAACATTCTCACAGTAGCCTGTTGTCTTCGCATAATCGAAAATTCACACTTCAGATTTCGCTCGCGTTGTCGTAAATTCTTACGTCTAATATTTCCACACTGTTCGATACTCTCATGTTATCAAAGATTGTTACATGGTCGAACATTTTTTTACGTCATCAAGTATTGTCTGTCAAGTATTGTATGTCAAGTATTGTCTGTCAAGTATTGTCTGTCAAGTATTGTCTGTCAAGTATTGTCTGT